AGAGGCCATTTTTGATGATTAATTATGTTTGGATAAGAATACAAGTTAATCATAAAATAGTTTATGATTAATTAAGTTTATAAGTTTAAATTGTTTATTTTGTTCATTTCTTCACTCCATTATGATGTTTTGCCAATTTGTTCCTATAAATAGAGGCCTAAAAATCAGAGTTCTCACACCAAAGAAAAGTACCAAAAGTTATATAAGAGTGTAAGAGAGAATAAGTAGTAGAAAATTTGGAGAAGTGAAGAATTTGAAGTAAAGAATCAAGTTTTTACTCTAGCAAGAAGGAGGTAATTTATTTATCTTAAAGTTACATGCTTATGTTCATGTTTTGATAATGAGTTTACATGTTTAGTAGATGATATTAAGTATTTAATAATGTTTTTAATATGACTTAGATATTAAAGTTTTATATGAATATAAGTATGCAAGAAAATAAGTTATTTCCAGCTCATATATATGTCATATGTGTTCAGTTATGATGAGATTTTTACCTAGCTATGAAACATCTGGAAATCTATGCTTCTTATGATTATTTCTTGTGTAAAAGAGGAGTACATAGGATCAAGAATCAAGTTATTTAGTTTAGTATAACTCAAGATATGAATTTTTAAAGTTTATCATGCAAGCTGAATTTTATGTACTTGTTTCCAGCAGCAACTTTAAACTTGAATAAGTCGAGATATATGCATGATAAAATTATGAAATTTTTATGACATGTCTAAATATGAGTTAAGAATATGACTGTTAAATTTCATGATTTGAAGATGAGAAATGAATGAGTTAAGATATTTAGACGGCATATATGTAAGGATGAGTATATATGAAAGAATATTCATGATATGATCAAGTTATTAAAGTGAGATTATTATGATCAATTCTCATATAAGTAATGAGGAATTTGGCAAAGTTTTAGTTTAATATGTTGAGTATATAATCTCATAAAGATTGTATTAAGTATGACGCATTAATATCGTGATTAAATGTTATGATTAAAAAGTTGAAGTATGACTTGAGTTTATTTTCACTTTCAAGTTAATTAAGTGAAAATTTAATATAAACCAATATTTAAAATTTGGGAGATATGATGTATGATGAATTAAGTATTTGATTGAGTAAAAGATTAAGATGAGTTTATAAATCATGAATATGATGTTGGTAAAAGTTAAGCATGTTTTGAGTTTAAGTACTCAATCAAGTGTAATGTGAAATTTAGTTATTTTCACATTTGAGTTATTTAAGTGACATGTGAGTATAAACCAATATCTATGATTTTGAAGATATGATTTATATATGGTTAAGTAATTAACCTTGAGTAAAAGTTTAAGAAAAAGTTAAGATGTTTGGTGACCTAATATTTATTTGAGACATATTAAGCTTATTGAATATTTTTAAGATTCAGATAAGTAAGAGTTAAATCTTATTGAGTATAAGAGCATAGTACTTAGTATATTTGTTTATATTTTTATGTAGCTTGCAGATATAACTACCCAAGAGCAACACTTACATTTTTCAAAAGTTTTCAAAAGAAGAAAGGTGGGGACCCAGATTGGGTATTACATTGAGTATAATATTGATATCATGTTCGAGGTATGTATACAGTTTAAGTTTATACGCTTGGGATGAGGAGGCATTCAGTTGTCTCAGAGTATATCCTAAGTTCTAATGGAGGCCGCTTGAGTTGCCTTGAGAAATATCCATCAGATTGTGCACAAGTATCCGATCAGATATCGGCCAGATTCAGTTTAAGTTACTGGAACAGATTTCCAGTCCATATATATACCAAAGATCATGATATTGTATTATTATTGTTGTTTACTTTAGTATGGGTGATTTCGGGGTACCAAGAGGATCAGTACTCACCCCCATTGTGTTTTTCGAGTAACAGGGTCGGGCCGGAGGTGTGAGCTCGAGATGTGGTGGTGGTGGTCGTGCACTTATTTCAAGTGGACATTTATTAATTATTTGATATGTCTGTATAATAAACCACATTTTCAAGTATTTCCGCTATGCACATTAAGTATTGAACTTGCATTTTTAATAAATTTCAGATTTCAAGTTTATACCATTTCGAGAAGTATGAATATGGTACAGTTAAATGCAAGTTTAAAGGAAATCTGTTTTCTTTATGTCTAGAGAAGTATTAGACAGAAAGTTTAAAGATAAACGGATTTTCAAAAAGATGAGTTTGAGTAGCATCTCGAGTTAGTCGCAAAATATTTCGAAAGAGTTATAAGTATTTTCGAAGTAAAAGTTGCGAAAAATTTACTCTGATGAGCAGGGTGTTACAGTGCACATCGAGCGGCCGACCTAAGGGCCGAGGGTCTTTGACCACAAGAAAAGAAAAGAAAAGAAAAGAAAAGAAAGATTAAGTTCAGCTCGTATATATTGAAGTTCATGATATGTTAGTATAGATGTTGTCTAATTCAGTGTCGGCCAGAGTAAGGGTCATGTACTGGGTTTTACAATGTCCATAATTATTGTACCATGACTGAGGTATGTTCGAGATATTAAGTTTCTCCCAGGTGAGAGGCCGACCTAAGGGCCTTCCTATTCCACCTGGTACCCGATAAGGGGCCGACCTAAGGGCCTTCAGTCTTATCGGGAGATGTGCACACGAGTGACCGAAGTAAGGGCCTATAAGGGTCTTTGAGACCACAGTATAAGTATAAGAAAAGTTTTCCATTTCAGCAAAATTTATTTATTTATTTTATGCTGCTTCTAAGTTTATGTTTACAATTAAGATTATTACAGTTCCAGTTTTTCCTACGAGCATGCAGATGTGCTCACACTCCCACAGTCTTTCTTATTTCATGTGTCGGAGTCCAGCGCGCCGGGTGAGCAGACGTGGCAAGTGTGGTCATGAGCAGTGGACATTTTTATACACATCTTATGTTCTAAAATTCATGAATATGTATTAATGTGTAGTATGTATGTGTGTAATATGTATTATTCAGTTCAGCTTCCGCTAGACTAGACAGTGCGAGACAGTCAGACATTGCATGTGTGACTCCATTCTCCACAGTGGATTGATTGGTTGCATGTTTTATTTATTTCCGCATGAGTAAGATAAGAAAGTTTTCGTAGCATCCCGCAAGTAGGAAAGTATTTTCGAAAATAAACTAGCACGATATTTCGAAAATAAAAGCGAAAAATTAACTCTAATTTTCAAAGGTCAAATCTAGTCAAGGTGGGGTGTTACAAGTTATGCGGTAACTTATGCGACAGACAAGCGATGATAATTGATAAATTCAATAATATCATGCGATAAACTATGCGACACAAACGAAGATAACTGATAAAGTACGAAAATATTATGACATACACTATGCGACAGAAAGGTGAAGATAATTTATAAAGTGCGAAATATTTATACGACATGATATGCGGCACACAAGCGAAGTTCATTGAGTATAATGTGAAACAAATTATGCCATAAAGCATGCAACAAACATGCGAAGTTAATTAAGCAAGTGCGAATTACTTATACGATTAACTATGCGACATACATGCAAAGATCATTGAGCAAGCGTGAGACAAATTATGCAGCAAACAAGCAAAATTAATTGAGAAATTGCGAATTACTTATGCGACAGACAAACGAAGTTCAGTGAACTAGTGCGAATCAAATTATGCGATAAAAGCATGCAACAGACATACGAAGTTAATTGTGCAAGTGCGAATTACTTATGTGATCAACTATGAGACAAACATGCAAAGTTAATCGAGCAAGTGAGATCTCATTATGCGATAAATTACACGACAGATAGGTGAAGATAATCGAGCTAGTGTGATATCATTATGTCATAAACTACGCGACATACATGTGAAGATAATTAAGAAAGTGTGAAATATTTATGTGGCAACTATGCGAAAGACAAAGAAAATTGAAAAATAGCGAAATATTTATGCTATAAACTACGCGTCGGACAAGTCAAAATAATCGATAAATTGGGAAATATATATATATATATATATATATATATATATATGATAAACTATGAGACAGACATGTCAAGATACTCAATGCCGACAGACAAGCGAAGTTAATTGAGAAAGTGCGAATTACTTATGCGACAGACAAGCGAAGTTCAGTGAGCAAGTGCGAAACAAATTATGTGATAAAACATGCAACAGACAAGCGAAGTTAATTGAGCAAGTGCAAATTACTTATGCGATCAACTATGCGACAAACAGACAAAGATAATCGAGCAAGTGAGATCTCATTATACGATAAATTACGCGATAGACAGACGAAGATAATCGAGCTAGTGCGATATCATTATGCTATAAACTACGCGCCATACATGCGGAGATAATTGAGAAAGTGCCAGATATTTATGCGAAAACTATGTGAAAGAGAGACAAAGAAAATTAAAAAAAATTGCGAAATATTTATGCAATAAATTACGCGACAGGCAGGTCAAGATAATTGAAAAATTGCGAAATATTTATACGATAAACTACGCGACAGACATGTCAAGATAATTGATGGCAACAGACAGACGAAGATAATTCATCAAGTGCGATATAGTTATACCATAAAATATGCGACAAATAGGCAAACTTGATTGAGGAAGTGCGTAAAGATGCAGAGAATTATGTGAACAGTTATGTCAATGGCGGGTCTGTCGTATTTTAATCTCAGATAAGCTTTTTGCACCTGTTTTTACATTTTTCACTTTCTTCTCAATTATCCACTTTTCATGTAATCCTAGAAAGATAATCTTTTTTCACTTTCTTCTCAATTATCCACTTTTCATGTAAGCCTAGAAAGATAATCTTCTCGAGAACGCTGTACCAAAACACGTGAAGGAAGTTTTCAATATCATGAATCCCCAAAGTTTATAAGAATGAAAATCCCCAAACAATGAGACAGAGAATCATGGGCCGGGCCGAGATTAACAACCGAAGAAATATGATGAAAAACGATATGGACGACAAGTTGTATAAACTGATCGAGCATATACTCATAAAAGATAAGAAATATACGTAGCTAAAAATGAAAATTACAAAATACATATATCATCATCCCCTTAAATTAAAAATCGTCCAAATACTAAACACATTATCATCTCAAAATCGAGTGATAAAAAAAAAATATAAAAGAACTAATGCTCATCATTGTAACAGAATCAATAAACAAACAGCTGGCGCACTTTCTTTTTCACTTTCACCTTCTCAAAAAAAATGGATGATCACATTAAAATTTCATAAAGAGCAGTTAACACTGTAAAACCTTACCAGATAAAAGTTGTCACAACACAAGACCAAACTAAACCAGCATATATACACGAAACAGAAGGAAACAAAAAGAAATTTACACAAAAAAGCTGAAATAAATACAATAACAGTCCACCAAAAATCAACTGACCCCCTAATCAAACTCAGACGACCCAGACCCAGACCCAGATGGCTTCTCCTTGTGATCAATCACCAAATTATCCCTGCCAAGGCATCTTTTCTCAGACAACAAAACCAGCCCCACAGTAGTAGCAGCAGCAGACATGCTGGCAGCCACCACATCCCTCGTGCCACTATAAAGCCCCCCAAACACGTTTTGCTCGACATTACTCCCCTGGCTGGATGACCCATTCACGAGCATCCGAAGAGTCTCCCGAGCACCCTTTTCGGATTCCGCGCCCGCAAGCGAAGTGGCCAAGTAGCCCGACGAGCAGACATCGATCACAGGCACATGCACGATTGGGTCGCACATCAAAGGTGTAAATGTTGGAAGCTGTCGTGAGTTTGCCAGAGGAAAATCGAGAGTGGGAAAATCGAGAGGTGGGAGCTCAGCCACATTCACAAGTGGCTTTGACAGCAGAGAAGAAAGTGGGGGCAGAGAAAATGGCTCAGTTGCCAAGACAATTGGCACTGATACAACGGGTGGGCACCAGCAGTACTGAGGGGAGAGAGTAGATGATGAAGGTATTTTTATTTCCTGGCCCGGGACTGACTTTTCTAATACATCCAAGAAATCTAATGCTGGGAATGAGTGAGCAATACTACTGCTTGTTTCAGTAATGTTGTCTTTAGGAAAGCAAGTGGGACCGGATAAGATGGTGCAGTTTAATGAAGCAAGAGATTGGCTGCCAACACATCTCATGTAGTTTTCTTCATGGGCTGCAGCACTCCTCAAGGAAGATGAATTTTTTTGCAGGCCCTCCTCAAAAGAACCTGAATTGGGACTGAGACTACCCAGATAGATCAAGTTGGTCTTTGACACTTGACACAGACTCTTGGGAAAATTGGATGGAGATTGGGGTGAAGAAAGATCAGAATAACTGTCTGAATCGTCTTCCAGGTTAGACAAGAGAAGGCCACTGGCTTGAGCACTACTTAACACAGTATCAGTAAGATATGCTCGAAGATGACTAGCGAAATAGTTGAGGCGCGACTCACTAATTCCAGTTAATTCAGCCAGTGAAGGTTTCGTCACAAGCAAATCCTTCATCTGTCAGACACAAAAGCAAAAGTTAACAAGAATAAGTTCAGCTTTTGTATGTGAAACATGAAACACTAGTAAATATCCTCTCTTTTACCTTCCTGAGCAGTTCATCCCCTAAAAGCTTCGATTTTTCAGAACACCAAAAATAGGAAACATTATCTGGTGTTTTTATTAGGAAAGACCTTCCAGACTTGTCTGAAGGGATCTCTTCCATAACTGTGTTGCTTGAGTGCACCTCAGTACTTAATGTTGCCAGCCTCTCCACAGATCCATCATCCCCATTAAATGATACTCGCAAAGCAGAAGTTGGCAAAAGGGTGAGATGTAAATTCCCCCTGTTTTGTTCAAAGAAAAGGAAAGGTTCAGAAAACAACAATCAGCTAGAGTATGTACACATATGAAATTAAAGTAGTTGATGAGTTGTAGAGGTGCAAACTAATGTACTTTTCTCCCAGATCCCCAACAGTTAATATGAGATAATGGCATTTGAAAAAGAAAAAAGATTTTCCAGCTCCAGAGCCCTATTGATCCACAATTAAATGGATGCATGAATTTACACACTCACAGCTCCTTTAGACAACACAATTAATTATTTCATCCCATGAACAGCAGGGAAATTAAGTTTCAGATGATTCACCACTAAATTGGCTTGAGATTAGTCAACATTATGCAAGAAATATATAATATTAATGTGTTACATGATTACATTAAATGCCACGGCTTTCTTGCTACATGGGGAATATGAGAAATTAAATCATGGGGCTGACAAATATATAAGTAAACAAAATAGTCAACAAACATTGATATAAAGATAACACAGAATGATCATTAATTTAGCATGAACTTTAGATAGCAGTATAGCACAAATCAACTTAAATCTGCTACTATAACATCAGCATAGGAGGCTAGAACTTAGATACAGATACATCTTAATAGTTGCACATATATTTACAAATCCAAAATTCATTACCAGCAAATATTATGATATCACAAACAAATATCAACAGACTTAGGGTGTGATTGGATATGAAATTGATTTGGTTTTGATTGGTTTTTTATTAACCATAGTTAATAAAATAATAATATTTAAAATAAAATGATTAAAGCGGAGAAAAGTGATTGGAAGTGATGAATAGTTAAAATTATGTGAATGGATGAATAGTGAATTAAAGTTGATGTGATGTGAAAGGATTATTGATTGATATTATTTAACTATAATGATAACATTGAAGATAATGGGGTTGTGTTAAAACTGAATTAAAGGTGAGTTTTGATTGGTTTTTTTTGGGTTGAGTTGATAACCAATCACACCCTTAAAAACTAGAGAATTGTTAGGTTCACCAAATAGGAAACAAATGTAATACAACACAAAATCAACGAGCCACAGAAAGAATAATACATTAATGCTAGAAAGAAAAATATAAGAACAAGAGATCGAAGAATGCTGACAAAAAGCATAAAATAATGTATTAACATAGGAGCATGAAGCTACCTTTACTCCGTCTTAATTCAGAGATCATAATAGTTTACGCCCAATTTACCTACAAGCCAAAAGATATTCACTTGGGAAGATAAAAATGGTGACCATTAACACCAAAACTACAGTTTTCATGCAACAATACACACACACACACACACACACACTTATATCTGTCAATTTCGATGTGACGCCAATAGCAACACATCAGAACAGGACTAAAGCCTACCATGCATAGGAGGAAAAACTATCATGAAGTAAAAAGCCATAAACAGCCGAAGGGCATAACATAGTACATAATGACAAGTGATGTGATATTGCATACTGAATCAGGTAAATTCAACACATCACAAGGTCATCAGATGATAGAATCAGCTTCATTCCCCATCATACACAAATCGACATACATATGTACCACACCAACCTTCCCAGTATCTTCACATGTCATACGCACCTCCTAGGTATGAACAGTCATATCAAGAAGCAGGGATCTAAGACAGAATCCAGCATGTAGGTGCCGATCAAGAGGGAGATTATGATATGTCTGCAATTCATATATAAGACACTCAAAAATGAACCCTAAACAAGATTAGGGGTCAGAGATTATAGTATTATAACACTACTCCTACCAATAAAACCCTATATTATGCTATTGTTGCCAAAAAAATTACTAATTGGTCATGGATAAACATTCTACAAAAAAAACAAGCATCAGTTGGCACCAACAACACATGAAAAGCGAGTTTGTTATAACCATTACATCAAATATAATAAAAAGTTGAAATAAAAAAGTATAAAAACAAGAACGCAATACCACGATGAAAAAAAGAAAAGAAATAATGGGAATTGAATGCAAACTTAAACACAATCCAAATGTAGTAAATTACTGGCAGCAACAGAAGCCATAGGCAGTAAGAAACCAAAGAACTTAGAAACTACTAATCGGAGGATATCAACTAAAAACTTTTTTCCTACAAGACTTATGTGTTTCAATTAATTTAAACCTGAAACTTGGAGGCAAATAACCAAGTGAGAAACAATCTAAATGAAGTTCAAAACAAATAAATAAATGAACACAGATGAAACCCAAACAAGTAATGGCACTTGAAAGTACTCGTAGTTTGGTCATTGCAGTTAGTTGTCCTCAAAACTCGATCACAATACTTTGCACAGATTTATGATTATATAGAACATATATAATCAGAACTGTATGAATAGTCAAGTGCTATCCTATTAAGCAAATTGTATTCTATCCTTAGGAGAAGAGATCAAAGAAAACAGGGGAAAGAAGGATACTATTATTTGAAAGATACTGTTCACTGCAAACCTTTCTTTCTTATTTTTTACCACATTCCTAAAGGCATCTACCCTTAATAACCCAGACAAAGAAACAATATCAATGAGGAACCATTCCGACCCAGGCAACTCATAGAAAAATAGTGTTGCAGCTACCTTATAGATGTAGGAGACATGAGGGCCCCTTGCTTGTCTATCCTTCCAACACGAATGGAAACCAGAGGTACACACAAACAACTGGCTATCAAACCAACTTCTGAAGGCTCGAAGTGCTGTGAATTGAAGAGGACAGACAAAGGCAGACATCAAAGGCAAACACGAAAGGATGAATAATGCAAATACCCAAAAGCTTCCCAAAAATTAAGAATGGATACATATTTAGAAAACCAAAAGGAAAAGGGGCAAACATCTGCCAATCAATTTGGTCTCACCACACCACACCAAACTTGCGGAATAAACACGCCAATCAAGATTTCAAGATTCGAATTCTATTGATCTGATGGCAGATACCTGAACCAGGTGAGCTAGCAGACCATCCTCAGCCACGCCAGCAGCGACGTTAAGCTTCAGCAAGGGCTTCAACCTCTCATCCCCCCTGCAGGCCCCCATCACCTGCATATCCAAGGCGTGAAACCACTGAAGAAAACCGCCCTCTGGATCGCTGCTCTGCAGGAGCAGATCCCCGTCGCCGTCCGCCAAAAATATCTCCGTTAACCTTCTCGTGACCGAAGTAGTCACGGGCTCTGACGTCTCGGCGCCGCCCTCCGGATACAGATCGGCTGCGTCCGATATTTGATCGGCGGGGTCCTCGTCATCGATACATCCACCGTTGAGCGATTGTTGTTCCTCTGAATTTGCCATTAGTGAGAAGGAGAAGGAGATCTCAATTGGAAATAGCGGCTAATAATAAAATATCACAAATCAATAATACGTGATAATAATACGCATAGATAAGGCATAGATAAGGCATACAGATGGTGTGGTTGTGATTTGCGTGCTTGTTTTTAACTTGAAATCTAACTAAAACCTATATTGTACCCAATTTTATTAATTCAGTTCGACCCATTAAGACGAAGTCAGACATAAAGTTGGGTTTACACAAAGTCCAACCACCAACAAAACTCACCCTGCCAAAAGAAGGGCGGTCCAACCACCCTCATTTCTTCTTATTGGTCAGAAGAAAGGGTGGCTCTGTCGACCCCTTTATTCCGATCACCCCATTATTTTTTCTAACAAAAATTCAGGAAGGTGTTTAAATCTCAAAACTGAACCGGTCATCGAATCAGTGAATCTACCGGTTCACTGGTCGAACTAGTGGTCGAACTGGTCGAACCGGTTTAATTAATATATAATTTTTATATATTTTATATATATATAATATATATATATATATATATATTTTTATCATTAATTTTATAGTATATAATGACATTTATCTAGATAATAAAGAAAAAATAAATAAACAATCATGTATATTCTAATTATTTTAGATATCTAGGCTCATATAATAGACTTTAATGATGTGTAGGCTTATAAACACTTTAGAATATATTCTAATTAGTAATTATTGCTGGAAGCTTATAAACACTTATAATATGTTCTAATTAGTTATTATTGTTGTGTGGACTTATAACCATGGGTTTTCACTTCCAACAGTAAGGCAACTAAAGCCCAAGCACAAATATTCCCACTTAGTAACTTTTAAGCAATAAAGTCCAATAAAGGCCCAATTATTTCAAGAAGACTTTATTTATTAACTCCCACATCGGAAGTAGTAGCGCCCCGTTAGTTTATGAAATATTTGGGATTTTTAATTAATATTATTGTCATTATTATTATTTTTATTATTGTTATTATTATTCTATTTAAATGTTTAATTGTGAAATAAATGTTTAATGTGTATTATTATTATAAATAATGTGTGAAATATATTTTATTATAACAGCAGTAATTTTTATTTTAATTATCATGCGTACCGAGCCATTTTATTTTGGCAAAATAAACCGAGAAATGGAGCCCGAGAGAACCGTACACTCTTAACCGAACCTCCGGGCCCATTAACCGGCGCCCCGGCCCACTTTAGCCCGCGACCCGTAACCAGGCCTGGCCCGGCAGATCTTTTTCTCTCTTTTGCGCGTGAGTGTCGTGCGTGAGATTTCTTTTGGATCAGAATTCTTAACCTAAGGCATTATGTACATGTATATTTCCTCTACTTGTTTCTCTCCTCAAAAACTATACCTCGCAGCTTTCTTCTCTTCCCAGATCCGATCGTCACTCTCGCGCGCAGAGAAAAATCCTTTCCCTCAGTTCGATCTCTTTTTTTTTTCCGGTTATTTCCGCCGACCATCATCTCCCTCAGCGCTCAAATCTCTTGCTCTGTTCTTTTCTGATTTTCCCGTCGACCCTCCCCATCACATCGCCGTCCTCGTCGACTTTGCATCGTCCGATCATCCCAGTCATTGTCCCCGCGGATTTTCGTTCAGAGCAGACCGTCGCCATCATCGCCCGCGCACAGCAACTCTCCGGCGACCGTGAGTTCACCCTTCTCCATTGCAGACCAGCAGCAAGTCGCTGCTCCCTCCACCGGCGAGCCCATCTCAGTCCCCGACGAGCACCCCGCCTGCAACTTCCGGCGATCTCAACCTTCACGCACAGATTTTTCCGGTGACTCCGAGTCCGTTCAGCACCTCGACAAGTGAACTCTGACTGTGGCCTAGCAGCAGCGACCCTCCTCAGCCACTGTCCTCCTCCGAGAGACGACGCTTGCCGTCGAGCTTGCCGCGAGCTCGTCGTCCTTCTCTTTCGTTCCGTTTTTCGAGAATTCCCGACAACGGTACCTAGTCGATTCCATCTCGGTTAAATCGTTTATGTTATTTATGAATATTTTGATTTGCGATTTGATGTGCGAGATGTGTATATTGTGCGAATGTGATCAATGTGATATTTCGTGAAGTCGTGATTTTATGTGTAATCGTGTTGTTCGGGATCTCTTCGATTATGAGAAATCGAACGAGGCCTCGAAACTCGTATAAGTCAGTGGATATTGGAACAAAGTCGAGTCCTTGGTCTTACGAGAAGGCCTCGGACGAGAAGTTTCATGTTATGAATTAATTGCTTAGTTGTCGAGTATATATGTTGCTGTTTTGGTGTTTGAATTTTTAAAAATCGCACACTGCTCGGAATGACTTGAAATTTTGAGGGATATGTTATCTGTTCATTGCCAGCCTTGTGTAAAA